AGCAAGTGCAGAAGCACTTGCTTACTAATACTACATCAATATACATATAGATTGTTTTATGTGAACACTTTGGAACATTTACCTGCCAGTCTGGCTCTACAAATTTGAGTCTTTTTATTTGTTTTTTTCTCCTTTTCATGCATGAAAAAAGCCCCCAAACACGTTATTCTGGAATTGAAAATAATTATTTGCATGACTAATTAAACATACCATACATGTAATCATAAAAAGCAAGAGGAAAAAAGCAGAGAGTTTCCTACCCGTAATAAGGACTGGGATTCATCTTTTGCCTTGCTGTCCCCGGATCCAGAATAGGACTGCGTGAGCTGCCCGGCCTTCTCCGCTGCTCCGGCTGGCACACCCTGCAGGAAGCCCTTGCTCTCCACTGCCAAGCCATAAATGGGCCGTGCGAGATGGGCAGCTTCTACATTTGGACTATCCCTTAAAGGCTTTGGCTGTTCTTGGCCAACGGACACAGGGGTCAATAAGCCTAGGCTGGTCTGTGTGTATGATGGGCTCCCCCTCAAAATGTCTGTTCCTCTCCAGGTCACATTGCGAAGATCATCACTGGGACTGTCAGTCCAGCCTTTCTCCTTGAGCACTTCCTTATCTTCTATCTTTTCCCTCTTCACTATGCTGTCAGATATGGGCTCCCCCATTTTGGGGTCCGGATTAATCAGACTGTAGACCTTGAGGTCAATTTTTGGCTCCTCCTTGATAGACGAAACACCATGACCGTCCTCCCCGTTGGCTGTAGTGACGTCCATCTCCTGACAGTGCACAGTGTTGAAGTGCTCTAGTAGTGACTGAGTGTCAACAGCTGTGAAGCTGCACTGACGGCATTTGTAGCAGTTGTGTACTCTCCTGGAAGAAAACAAGAAGTGCATTAACAAGAGTCGCCCCTTGGCCTGCCCTCTCACAGTGGTTTTACCTACCAAGATGAATAAAACATATCGAACTTACAGTATGATGCCCTCTAAATAAAGCAAGCAGGTTAACTTTGGTGTCTTATACAGTAAGGGGAAAATCCAGGTAGTTTTTCCTCCCACACCTTGCAGTGGCCTCCTGTCGTTCATTTACGTTCCACTGCATTGTTCTAAATTTTATATATTTTTCACTGGGATTTTGTTTTTCCTCTTCAGTTTGCTGCAATACACTTTTCACTTTCTACTGCAGTAGAAACACTAAAGAAGCATGTATCTTTTAACCAAAATCAAACAGTTAGAAGAGTTCTCTTTCTATAAAAAAAATTTCATATAATATAGATCTATGTTAGAAAATTAAAATGTTTAACAAATTCCTTTACTTTCCACCAATTTTATATACTTCTGCTTGACAAAGATGATTTTGAATAGAGCTCTGGTTAACTTATGGATAAGAATACACCAAAGTACAGAAGGTTGTACACAACAGACAGTACTTCTTGGTTCTCTATGGATATTTTAACATAACTTTAAAAGATGCTGCTATAAAGCAAAAAGAAAATAGTTGGCTGTGTCACTACAAACTGTGTTTTCCTGTCAAATACAAAAATTCTTGCGTAGGAGCTGTGGAGCAGGGTGGAATAACATGCCTTCCTGTTTTTACTCTAAAAGCCTATATAAAGTACTGCATTACTAAATTATGTAAAGCATATGTTGCTACATGAGAACAACATGTTACCCATTTACCATATCTATCATAGGAACAGAACACTGTTTATGAGCTCTCTAACGCCATTCTGAATAATTGTTTATAGCACAGGAGCAGTCAGAGCCCTCTGTCAGGCTCCAGGCCCCACTGCGCCCGGAATCCTACCAACGCAGAGGAAAAAACCTCCCTGCCCTGCAAAACGCACATAACTCTACGAAAGCTTCTCCCTACATACACATTCACACATCCACACCCCAGGCATTCAGAGTCACAACAGTGTCTTTAGCCAAGCTAAAAACAGAGCCTTTCGCTATCCACACAGGACAAAACTTGTATGAGAAATCTGTTACTGCCCTGACAACTCCAATTGTTAGATTTAATTCTTTTAAGGCCAAATCTTTGTCTCAGTGAAGTCGATGGCAAAACTCCCATTGACTTCAGTAAGAGCAGGATTTGGCTCTTGGTGCATCTGTAGAATTGGAATTACACACAGAATGTCCCTTTTAGACTATGATAGTTTAGAAGGGACAACTTGCCAAACTTACTAAACCCCCTTGTCTTCCTTCTTTCCTTTTGCTGGAAAAACAAACCATACATTATTTACATTGTCTGATTTTCCTGCAGTTGTGTCAGCGTACAGACATGAGTACAAATTCAAATTCAAGCTTTTTAGCCCTTGTGCAGTATTAGTTTTCTTTTTGTCATTTTCTGTATTTATATTCATTTTAAGGGACTAGATGGGCTCATTCTGTTATGCAAAAAATAGATTGAGCTGCTCTCCACACAGCCTTATGGCAACAAAATCTACTTGTGGGAGAGCAAGCTGTGGGTTAAAATCCTATTCTGGCTGTGTTCCTTTTTCTTCATCCTACAATTGTGTTTTATTAAAATCAGCTTGTCTCTCAATGCGGCACTAATATATTCTCTCTCGCAACTTAATTCTTTTCTAAACCAAGCTTAATTCTCATCTGAACCAAAAAAAAAGAGAGAGTGCTATCTGATCAAAACCATTTTATAAACACAAAAAGCCAAGTTATAAAGAGGGTCAGACCTGTAAAGGTGGGATACCATCAGAGAAGTCCAAGTTAGACAGGGCTAGTTATCTTAAAAGCCAAGTTAAACAAGACACCATTTGGGACTAATGGCTCAACCGCATACACTCCCCATGTGAAAGTTTATCAATCTTTTGGGACACTACTTAGCCCTAAGTGTCTCTTGTTTAACTTGGCTATTTCAATAGCTAACCCCCTTCCTAACTTGGCTCTCATCTATAGATATCACACCTCCAAACAGCTGATCTTTTTCTGCCTAACTTGTCTTTTTTTTTTTCCCCCCATTCCACACTGGCTAAATGTTTTTGATCAGGAGCCATATACACCACAACAGTGTACCACACTTCTGAGGACACAAATAAGTGCTGAATATTAGATGCAGCTATAAGTACATGGCTGAGACCCAGCTCAAATCACCTTCAATACATTAAAGGTTTTTTAATTTAAATTATTTCTAATTGACTCAAAGAGACTTATACAAGCATTCCTACATTCTTCTGTAAGACTGTGATAAGCACTGGGATGTGGAAAAAATGAGAGCTGACTTAGGTAGATAGTAACCCAACAGGCTTTTTTTTTTTCAGGACATATATTTTTCCAGTACACATTAAAAAGTAATCTCTGACATCAACATTATAAATCTTCATACTTCGCATGGGTTTGTCCTGTGTATTATTCTATCCCCAAGCTCCAAAATGTAAGCTAAAGTTTGGACTGTTCAATATAAGTCACAGGCCCAAATAAGAAAATAAGAACCATCATCAGCTATTAGAGAACTTTTGAAAGTTGGAAACCCATTCTTTCCCAGAACAAGGTATAAAAAGAAAATGTTTTCTTCACTTTTTTCACTCCACCCTGATAGCAATCAAGGAAACAAGTTGGCAGTGTTTGACTTCTTTTTTACCAGAATTTAAACCTACTCCATGACTCTAAAATCCCAAGTTATACTTAAGAGTTCTGCACAAAGCTCTTCAAATCTAAGCAACAAATTTTTTACAATTCCAGTTTGCAAAGTACACAATTATTACTCCTGTGCAATACCTCAAAGTTACACCTTACAGCTAAACTACAGCTGTACCATCTGAAACTCAGAATTCATCAGATGCAATACTGTGTATTGGTACAGAGCTGCTCAAGGGAGAGATGTTTGATGAAAATTTCAGTATGGAAGAAAGCAATGTAATGTAAATGCAAAAAATGTAAAAATGTTAAAGAAGGGAACAGCATTCTCTCTTTTGTGGTATTGTTTATACAGCACTCAAACAAAGAGCAGGTTCAAGACATAAACTGGCATTGAGCTGGTAATGTCATCCCATCCACTGATGTCACTTAGAATTATGATTTCACTACAAAATATATCAAAGACCTTATTATCTGTGGACATTAAAACATTTATCATAAGATTAAATTTCAAGAAATTCAGGCCAAACTTTTGCTGCATGGTTACATTCTGACAACTTAAAAAAAAAATCTATTATTATGTGTACTGAAACGTACTTGAATTGGGTGCTGTAAGACACAGGGATTTTCCTTGCAAAATCTTGAAGCTGGAGAGATTAGATGGGGGTTTTTTTGATGGATTTAATGTTCTTTATTTGAGCTTCCTAATAGGCTCCCGACACTAGCCAGTTGTTAATTAAGTCTTGTTGACATACTTCTAACTAGTCTGAAGTATTACAAAACACCATCCTCTACATAACAAGCAATTTTTTTTTTAATTACCTGAAGACAGTCCTAGGCTCTAGGGCATAGAAAACATTCTGGATGAAGGTAAGGCTGTCATATCACTTCCATTTTTTTGCATGTTTTGAATTTAATTATGAATATAATAATTACTAGCATTTCTCATGAAGAAACAGGCTTATAAGAAAGTTTACTTTTGGGATGGGTGCTGTAGTCAAGCTTGTGAAGAGGGAAGATGTTCAGAAGGAAAGACAGCAAGTAAAGCAAGCAAAAAAATTAAGTGGAGAGTTAGAAAGGAGAGGAGACTGGGCAGAGTGGAGAGCAAGGCAGAGATGAAAGGAGAGCAAAAGCCATTGGCAAGAGCAAACAAGTTCAGAGCAGTGAATTAAAGTGTCAGGAGGATGGAAAAGCCCTCGTAGCTGCTGCTATTGTTCACTGCGTGAAGGGTCCTGCTCTGCTGCAAGGCCTCAATTTACACTTTTCCTCTCAGTTGGCTTCTCTGGGGAGTGTCCCAAAGGCTCCAAGTTTCCATAATCTGCACACCTGAGACCCTGCTCTGGCTTCTGCTGCCTGAGAGTGTGACGGCTCAGCCCCAACACCCCTGAGGTGCAGCCCTGGCCCTGGGAAGGTGCAAGCCCTGAGCATCTCTCTTCCTTTTCCCCTCTACCTCATTTATCTTTAAGAGGGAAGGAATTACATCATTTGAAATTAACATTAATTTCTAAAGAGAACCCTACATAACTGTTGTCACCCACATTTTCAAAATAGTTTATTAGAAAAAGTATTGTATATCATTGCCAAAGCTGTTATTTCATTTGTCTTTATATTTTCTGTTTATATTTTGCAGTTTAATGAATCCCTACTCTATCTTGGTTTTAAAAAGACATTTTGTGGATTTTTCAGCATAGCATTTCTAATTATTACTAGCACCGATCAAATATTTCTGTCCATGTCTTTTTCAACAAATAAGGATTCACATGAAAAATTCTAACTTTTGCAAAAGAAAATAAATTGCTTTCCCACATCTTTTAGCAATTTTTTTTTAAAACAAAAAGCCACTTATTCAAGAAGCCACTTTGATTTGACCAAAAAAATCTAAAGTAATTATTTTGGAGCAAGCAGGAAAATAATCTCTAGACTAAGTGATCCAACATACAAAATTTCCCCAAATACTCAGTTTGATTTTTATCTAAATTCCAAGGGTTGGCATCTTCTGGCTCATCAGAATACTAGACCTAAGCTTCACAACAAACATGAAGAGTATCTGATTCCTCAGAGGTATAATGGAAAATGAGTAGTAGCAGAATTAGTGGAAAATGGAGGCAAATAAATCTTCTCAGGATTTATTTGAGTAAGCACAGTTTAGTGAGGTTTAAATACAAGTAAACTCAAGTGCATTGTGATTCACTGACTTCAAATTTAACCGAACAGCTCTCAAGTAACCACATCAAGAAATACTGAATGAGTGTTAAGTGTAAGTATACGTTTTTGTAGACAGAAAACTTGCAAAGAATTGCTTTTGCAAATTCTAATACTGTTGAAAATACATGGCTGCAAAGGAATACCACTGGGAGATAGAAAAAGTTTTAGCTAGTAGACATAGCGAAATGGTAGATGCAGAGCCAAAAAGAAGCAAAAAAAAAAAAATAAAATAAATTAAGCATACTGCTCCAACATATGACTCAAAAATGAAAATAATGCAGACAAAAAATACATGAATCAAATTATGTAAATTGCATGTAAAGCAGCTCTGATATTCCAGATTATCAAGGGTAAACCTAAATATGTGAACAGCAGAACACTTTCTGCCACCACATTAATGCTTAGCATTATGTTTATCATTAGAATCTGTTCAACTTCTTATCATATAAATGAACAGGTTTTAGATATATGTGCATGTATAGCATTTTAAATACATCAGATATACACAATACGTGGCATAACAGCATTATTGAGATAAGTTCTGATGGAGAAACAGAGAAGCCCAGCTAGAATGTGATGTGGCTCCACATCAGCATATTTCTGTGTGTCACATAAGTCTCTAACACAACTATTTTATAGGTGCTCAACTTTTTAAAATCTGAACTGTTATGTATCTTTAGTTCCTAAAATACAAAAAGGGAAAGAAAATATGTATCTTACACATGCAAATCTTCTGTTTGAAAAAAAAAAAAGGGTTTTATAATAATAAAAATAGAAACTATAATGCCTCAAAAGTTTTAGACTGACAGAGTGAAAACTACTTTATACATAGAAAAATAATAAAGCCTTCTGGTGTTTGCCATTACAGAGCACCTATCACAAACCACACTACCTTCTGTGATTTCAAAAAAGGTGCACAGTGGGGGAAAACAGCAGCAGTACAAGTAGAAAAGAAACAAAATTCAAATTATCAAGGAGGGAGTGCAGGACAAAGGGAAAGAAGTTGGCAGTTATGGGGATGTTGTACTTCACTTTAATTACACAACATCCTCAGAGTACTCAATAATGTCATGGACTGGATGGTTAACAGAATATACTGTTCAAGTTTCTCAAACAGAGAAGCCTAATTTTAGACAAACAACTTGAGTTTCGAATGCTTAAGTATATCTCTTGATTTTCCAAAGTGCACTTCTCTGTGATAACTGTCAGAACTACAGGGTGCTGAGCCCTCCAAAGGAGAAGCTGTGACTACCCCATCCCAGACTTAGCACTTAATTTTGAAAGTCATGGCTTCTCCTTTCCTTGGGAAAAAGGATCTTAACGCGGCATGCTTGTTAAAACTTAAATCACCAGCTGCAGCAAAATAAAAGTGGGTTTTTTTCAGTCAAGGAGCCATTTCAATCTTCCAGTTATTTAACCACTAAAAAAAGATCGTGCCATGCCCCAGCGGCGGACAAAGTGCTGCCTATGGAGTTCTTCAGCATGGCTCAAAGCTGCTATAATAATGCTTGGAACTTAGATACCACTTTTCATCTTCAAAGCAGTTTACAAACATTAACTAATTAATCCACACAACATCCCTCAGGCCCACTTGGATCAAAAATGGGGCACTACATGCTGGGACCTGAATCCTCCGTGGGCCCTAGCTCCAAATTAAAGATGAGCAATCTGCTCTTTTTTTTTTTTAAATAGACTCCTGATACATTGCCAATGCAGCCCTCTGTTGGGCAACATTTGGATGCCCCCAGCTTTAATCTCTATTAAAGTATCATGCCCCAGTCTGCCTTTGTTAATTTTGGATGTCTTGGAATCTATTAAACGTGGCACAGTTTCTTGAGCTTTTAACAAAGCTTTAGCTTTGAAAATGCATCTTCTTTTGTCTTCATTCTAGCTGGCTTCCATGCAAAGATCTTTTAGATGAGATAGATACTGAGTTTTCCGTTGTTGTTGACGCATTAGCCTTAACTATTAACATATTCAGCATGATTTTCTAATATTTAACTCACTTTTGCAGCAGCACATAACTGTTGCTCTTTACAAAGCCTAAGAGCCAGCTCCTCCTCTGATAGAAACTGGACTGCCAGTTTACAACAGCCCAGGAACTGACCCAAGAAGTTTAGCAGGGAGTTGGCTGCCACTATGACATTGTGTCAGACTGAGTCAGGAGACTGGCTGAGTCCACCTCCAAATAGGAACATTAGCATTTAAAATAAATAGAATGACACTGTAAACCAGCAACACGAAAATAAGCATCTGCAAAAGGATCTTGGGGAATGACATCAACAGACAAAAGAGTGTCTACTCCCAGTGGGAAACCAACACCAAAACAGCAGTGGAATGCTCTTAAACTAATTATTACATTGCTGGACTTGGGAATGGAAAATACTACAAAAAGGTAGTACATTGAAGCACTGTTATGGAGCATGAAAGGGTTCACAGTCTATCTTGGAAAGTAAAGCCATTTGTGTTCCCTGACTGAATGAAGATGCCAGCTTTCTGGTAAAAAGCCTAAACTCTAAAATAGTACCTAAAAGATTCTGGGTGGAAAATAGTTGACCAAACCTCAAAAATGCTGAAACTTCAGCATCTGCACACAAATCCAAATTTCCCTCTTCTTTGCACAGGTTTAAATGTGTAATTAAATCCACCAACTTAGCTGGTGGTTTTCCAAAACAAAGTGGATGTTGGATTGGACTCTGGCTGTAAAGATTTATATCTATACACATTCATATTTTGATTCCTAGTTTCCTCAAATGTTTGAGGAATGGTGACATTTAATTAAGAAACTAGGGGAGGGCTGTTTGTTTAGGTTCCAACCATTAATCATTTGAAACTTCACTGTACCTGTAGTGTCGAGAAATCTCTTCTTCCACCTGGGTGGTAAAGTCACATTTGGTACATGAGTGTTCTTTGTTCTCCTTGAGCGTCAGCGTCCCCTCTGCCCCTGGCAGGGCATTTGTTTCTGGTTTGACATCAGACGCTTGGCCTTCATGTGCATTCTCATAGTGGAGCAGGAGAACGTCCACGTCGGGAGTGGAGAATGAGCACTGATGGCACTGGTGTTTGACTCTAGAGCTTCCTGTCATCCCTGGAGACAGGTGCAAAAGCAAGAGAGCACAGTGGGAACAATTACTTTTTCTGCAAGCAAATGGATAAGTAATTTCTCCAAGGTGCTTTTCTGGGCTGCAGAGGCCTCGGGGACAGAACTGACAGTGCTTAATGGTACACTTATGAATGTTGTGTAGCTGCTGATAGTGACGGAGAAGTGGGCCCACCACTATTACATCTGGGCCATGGCTCTTTGAGTACCTAAAGTCACAGAACTGACAGTTGTAGCTTGTCACCATGCTGTCCTCTGCTCCTTTGCTAGTCAAGTCTTTCTTTTTTGCCACACTCACACCCTTTTCTGTCTTTGTCACTAACTCCCCATCTGCATTTTTGGCTAGATCATTCTGGTTAATGACAGATCCCCTAGAAAGCTTATCATTCAGATCTGGGTGAAGGCTTCCTGCCTGGCTTCCCCCATGCTGTTTGCTGTAATGTTCTAATAGTTTCAATGAGCTGGACGATTCACAGCTGAAACTGCAAAATTTACACCAGTAGTAACTGGTTGTATCGGTACCATTTTGTCTAGAGGAATCTATTGGCTTGATGGGCACCGAATATCCAACTGGTGTATCATCTCCTGCTTTTACAGTGATTCTGTCTTGCCACTTCCCCAAGTCTCCAGAATCACATGGTCGAAGAGTAGGACTGGATTTATTGGAGTTTTTCTCTGAAGTTTTACCAGAATCAGAGGAGGGAAGGGCTGCTTTCATTTTGTTTGGGTGAGTCTGTAAGAAGTGTTGCTCTAGTTCAGTGGAGGAGTTGCCCATGTAGGTGAAATTGCAGAATTTGCAGCGGAAGTACTTGGTGTTGCCTTGGCAATCTGGAGTTTTCCGCCCAATTCCAATAAAGGTTCCACCTAAAGTAACCTGTGAATAAAGAATAAGGCCATTTTAGTTCTACTGTAGATTTATTCAAATAGCAATGAGCTGGGGGGGGAGAAGAGAAATAGAGAGCAACTAATTCATAAGCCTCTTTCATTAACCATCACCACCATTTTCACTGGTACTAATGTAGTAAGATATCATACATATACCCTTGCATAGTTAACATTTGTTGATGAAGATTTTTAAATGTTTCACATAGTTGAATATATATTCCACATGGATAATAAATGTATTGATTTGGGGAAACTGAGGCACACATACACAACATGATCATGTTATATATGTTATATATCCTTCCTTCACTAAATCATGAAATAATACCCTTAATAGAAGATCCAATAATCAGTTCCCCTATCTCTAAATCCCTTGAGAGCAGACTTTGCTGGAAGTCTATACCAGCGGTGGAACAAAAGAATGGGCCTTCAGTCTTTTTCTTTTGATACACGTACATGTTTTAGTCATATTCATGCATAACAGTCCAAGAGAATTGCTTTCTAAATATGAGCAAACAAAAATTAAATTTGAAATAACAAACTCAGTTTGCTGTGTCGCAGTATGACCAATTCTTACAAAGACCATTCCTACAGGAGTATCCAGTATCTGCCAGGATGCCTTTTCACAGAGCCATAGTGGCTGATGTCTCAAACGAAAGGCAGTTTTCTCAGGATTACTCACTACAGACATTCTCCAAGGAAATCTTCTCTTCCTCTCATGTACAGAGCTCAATTTAGTAAAACAAGGATGGAAAAACTACAGTAGAAAAATGGCATGTGGCAAAGAAACCTACCACACCCAACTCCATGACATCACTAATTACACACACACACACACACACAAAAAAAAAGGTACGTCTACTTAACTTTTCTCATGATGTCTGAGCAAAATGCTCTGCATGAAGGGAAGAAGGCTTCCAGGGCTGATGTTATTAAAGCCCATGTTCTCAGAGCAGGCAGGCCTGCCCTTCCCAGGAGTGCACCACACCTGCCCATGACATCAGGGAGAGATTTGCTGCTCCTGTACAACTGGTTTGAAGGCCAAAGAAAGAATCTCTTGACAAAAATGTCTCCATTGCACAGTTTCCTTTCCTGAACAGCAAATAGCATTCAGCATCCAGAAGTTAATTCCTCTTTACACCCAAAACCCACAGGCAGACTCCTTTGCCATCACCCAGTCTACACCACAACATCAGGGGGGCATAGGTGGAAGCTTCCTTGTGCCACATTCTCAATTTTTACACCCAGGAGAAGCCTTACAGGGAATATAAAACTTAACTTTACAGGGTTTGCTTTCCGTTCTCCCAACTACATTTCTGCAGGATTTAGTTCTAATGCATTAGGCAAATGGTGTAATTATTTTTCTTCCCCTCAACAGCTGTGCCACAAAGAAAACATGTGATCACTGCTCATTCAGTATCACACCGTACGGAAAGACTCAGACATACAGAGAGCATGAAATGTAAACATTTTTAAATGCATATAATATAAATGCCTTTTAGCCATTTAGCTCAGAGAATGAGAAGCTATCCTTTGTATCCCACCAGAATTGAACATGTATAGTGAGTCAATGAGTTGCTAAATAATGATATAATGAGCTGCTGCTATTCAGCCTCCAATTTTTTTTTACAATTTTTCTTAAGAAAGCACAATTCCCATGCGCTGCTTAAAACTTTCTCTTAAATAAACTGAAAATGGCTTTCTGTTTGTTTAGGAAACTCATCTCATTAGGCAATGGTGAGTCAGGCAGCCAAATCGCTAGGACTTAGCTGTAATAACATTTTCACTTAAACTGGGTCTCCATGTACTGCTATCAAATTATGAATTTGGTTTTGAAGAGGCTCTTTGGAAGAGGGATGTCTTAACAGGTCTTCTGTAGTGCAGAAACTTTATTCGTTTTATGGCAAGCAAGAACTGGAGATAAAGCCATGCAGAGCCTGATCCACTGACAACAGTGGGATCTGGGCCTGCTCCCCAGTATTTGGTTCTTCAGGTCTCCATCCACTACATTATTTTGATGTTCAAAGTCTCAGTTGTGTTGAAAGACAACTTAAAGAAAGCACTGATGGAATTATGGTAAGCAGAAAATAGCAGCAGTTCACTGCACGATTACATAAGTTGCAATGCGATCTGGTTTCGCTCATTTAATTAGATAAGTATGTTTGTTCTATGCATGCACAGAAAACTGGCCAAAATGCTTTACCTTAAGTGGCTCTAATGAGTAAATACATTCATTACTTTCAGCTGTCCAGTCAGAGAGCCTACAGATAACAAACCTATTTTGTAGACACTCTGTAGGCACCAGTTAGAAACTGTGAGTGACAATAATCCTAGCTGCTGTACATTACTAATTACTTTTATTTCAGAACACTGGTAAGACATATTATTAGTACTAGCATTTTCTACAATGGACTGTAAATCACATCATTTCTCTAACTTGTGCTAATCCTGCTTAGTGGCCTACACAGCCAAGTTTGTGTCCAATGCTAATACATCCTTCTCTGCATCACAAGAGGATAAAATAGAACTAAATATTCCCACACTATTTGTGTTAAGCTCTTGCAATGCAGGGGGACACGTTCAATCTTTACACCACCGGAATGTAATTGATTACCCATTCTTGGTTTGGCATTTTCTGAATACGCTGGCACAATTTAAATAATGCATTGCATTAGACCGTGTATGTGAAAAGTAACACAGTGTCATCTTAATGTTATTACACTGAAAAGCCATTTCTCACGCATAACAAAACCTACTGAAAGCCTCTGTGGGGGTCATCAGGTAAAGAGAACTGAGGAAACTGGTTTCCACGCAAAGAGGTTGGGAGAAGCACTTGAAGTGATGGTATAAACTGAAGCTGTTTCAGCTTTCAGCCAGCCAAATTTGGAAGAAGCCCACACTTTTGCAGAACTGTTTGGATTCATGCACCCTGCTGAAGTCTTGGCTTGACTTTCAGATTTTTCAGTTACATGTCGTATCTCTATATACAGGCACTACACTCCTTCACTGGGTATGAAATTGTCCTTAACCTCCTGCTCTCTCTGAACTGTACCAGAAAGAGGAAAAGTAAAGGAGAAAAGGGAGTATAAATGTGCATGTGTGTGTGTGTGTATATATACACATACCCTAGAAGTCAATATCCACATTTCTGTGTGATGTCAGAAGTGATAGCTTCTTCTGCTTACTCCCCTATTTCATTCTGATCCCAGCAAAAACTAATCTCCTGCTTTGCCCTGACAGAGTTATATTTCCTAAATACACACATAAAAAAGAAACTAAACAAAAGCAATGCTGAAATTCCGCAACTCTGTTACAGCAGTGGAGTCCAAAGTGCCAGCTGACATAGCTAGGGGCAGTCATGGGTACAGGTACATCTTGCACTGGAAATGTAGGAGCAACTACAGATCAACAGTTCCTTCAACAAGCACAGAAAAAAATAAATCTTCATAATTCTCTTTTTAAAGTAAACCTAACATATAAGCTTGGACTGTGGAAACAAGATTTAATTCTTTCCTTCACTGTCACTTGCTTATGAAACCTTGGGATTATCACTTATTTCTGCAGCACCTCAATATGGCAATATAGTTGCAATTAATCATTATGCTGTATAGAGGAAGGCAGCTGTAAGAATGGGTTCTCCATTCTTGCTCCTGAGGTGCACTGATATTTTTTTACAATTGTTCCTCAAAGCCATGTCTTGTTCTGGAATTAAAATGAATATATTTCACAGTAAGACTCCCCGAAACTCAAAACTCTTAATCATTAAATTTATTCATTAATGGAGAAAACTGTCAAAATCTAGAAGATCTGGAAAGAATTTGCCAAAAGGATTGAATCTCCTGTGTTAATACAACTAAGCTATCTCCTCATACACCACACACATTTCCAAAAATAGCCAGAAAGCAGAGAAAAGATAACACGATAATTGACAATGTTTCAAGATGTACTTTCTAAAGTATGTTGGCAAGTACTTCAACAAAGCTGTGTAATTGCACTATATGTTTCCAACAGATATGTCTATATTACCTTAATTAGTCAGACTGAAGACAATGATTTCATGGAATAAATGAACTTGGGAAAGAAGAGGTACTTTCTTTCTAAAAAAAATATGTGTCTTTGATATTTAATCTCTCCCTGATCCAAAAGCTACCCAACTCTATTCTCACTCCTCCTTTTCAAAATTCAATCCTAAATTCCATCATGCTGAAGCAGTTTACAAATATTTCTTAAAGAAAATGAAAAAAAAATCACCAAGGAAGCCAAACTCTGCCAGGTCCTGTAATCATATGTTTCAGGAAGAAAATTCTACCAGCAGAAACTATATCCATGTCAGAGATTCAACTGCAAGGCTTGCATGCACAGGGTAAAGCTGCCTGTGACCCCTGGTTTCTTCTTGCAACCACTGATTAGTATCCATCTGCATTGGAACATCAAACGCTAATAAACCTTCTACTTTTTTGCTTACCTGGGTTACATCTTTGGCTAATCAGGAGGTGAAAGGCTCCAGATCCCTTACCAATCTCCTGAGCCATCCAGTCTGCCTTTGCAATTACTCTTAATCTTCTAATCCTAAAATATTTTCTAATGCTCTTGTTTATTCATTTGCTTTGTGCAATATAGCATCCAGAACATTTTAACCATCCCACATTTATGAAGTTCTTCATGTCATGCAGGCCAGAACAGATTCCTGGCTTTCATGCAAGTTTGTGTAACACCACCCTGTTCTCTAACCTCCCCTACGGAGAATTCACTCCCTCTCCCTCGCTCTCTTTCTGCATATAAAAGTAGGAGACTCTTCAGAGTATATTCTTAAAACTACTTACCATACTGTGATTAATTTATAGGTGGACAGAACAATGTTACACAAGTGAGGCAAAGACTCAGGGCAAACTCCTGGCTTTCTGTGCTGTTTGTACTTACCAAAACAAGAAAGCAAAGTATTGGGTAACATTCACTCAAGATAAGTGCATTCTTCTTGAGATTTATTCT